TCGTTTTTAGGGTGCGTTATGTTCGGGGGAAGACGGTAGTCATTACCGGACCACTCACTGCCCGTACTTAAGACGAAGAAACACGTTTTTGCTGCGAGATGATGGGCGCAGGTTGCCAAGGATGTGATGAGAATCCAAACAAGGAACACCAAGAACAAAACATTGAGATCCTGAGAGCTTACCGAAAAAGAAAAAGAAAAAAAGGAATCGCTCATACAACCCAAGAGAAAACGTTGGACTGATGGAAAGGGGCAAATGATAAGGAAGATGTTGATTGACCACTGGAAAACGGAAACATAAGGGGAAGAGAAACGGATATCCCACAACAGAGGATTGGAGTCAGGAGGACGGCAGGCAGAAACGGGGAGAAGGGCCACACAGAGAGAGAGAGAGAGAGAGAGAGAGAGAGAGAGAGAGAGAGAGAGAGAGAGAGAGACGTAGACGAGACAGGAAAGGCGATGAACCACTCGAAAAGACGGGGGAACCGGCGAGGAGGNGGCGATGAACCACTCGAAAAGACGGGGGAACCGGCGAGGAGGAAGGTACAGATCTGGCAGTGAGGAATTCGAGACATAGCAAGAGATATCAAATGAGAGCGAGAGAGAGAGAGAAACGAGGACGAGAAGTGAGAGAGAAACGTAGAGGACACAGGAGAGGCGATGACAAGGAGAATTCACAGAGAGGGGGAACCAGCGAGGAGGAAGGCACACATCTGGCACTGAGCAATTCGAGACATAGTAAAAGAGAGAAAATGGCAAGTGCTTGCCCATTGCACGAGGGGAAGAGAACAGAGAACAGCGTTCTAAAGAACCGAAAGGAATGGGAGAAGGAGGAAAGCAGAGTTGGGCGGGCCGGAGAAGGCGACGGAAGAGGGGAGCGGGAGGGAGGAGGGGAGGGACGAGGGGAGGAAGGAGGGAAGGGAGGTGGGGAGGAAGGAGGGGAGGGAAGATGGGAGGAAGGAGGGGGTGGAGGAGAGGAGGGAGTGGAAGGAGGAGGGGGGGAGAAGAGGAAAGGAGGGGAGGAAGGAGGAGAGGGAGGAGGGAAGGGAGAAGTAAGAAACGTGCAAATTAAGAAGTGGGAAATGGAGAATCGAGAGCGCGGTGGACCAAAAGAGGCGGGGGAGTCAATATGAAGGAACATCTGACATTAATCACCGAAGGCGGTGATGAAAAAAGAGACAAAATGAGAGCAGGAAGCCATTTGTGAGAGGAGAAACGTGTCAAGTCAGCTCAATAGGGTCCTCCATGCAGCCTTCTTTGAACGAGTGCTAGCCTTCTTATATACATGACAGATTGAACATGACACAACATGCAATAAGAAACAAAGAGGAGAGCAGTCCCCTACGTAGTGAAGTTGGCGTATGCGGACAAGGACGGGAGCACACAGGCGAAAATTAAAAGTGAAAACGAGAAGAGAAGGGGAAAGGAACAAGCCTATCACTGGTAGTAATACAACTACTCCTTTGGGCATTTAACGTTGACGTTCCGGGTCGTAATTTCAGCGTCTCGTTGAACCGAAATGGTCAGGTCCTACAGGCGGGAACAAGGTAAGCCTGGAACGTCCAGGAACGTCGAAGGTAAATACCCAAAAGAGTAAAAAGAAAGTGCAAGAAAGAAGAAAGGGAAACACGAAAACAAATGGAGAAGAAAAATCAGAGAGGGAAGTTGGAAACGAGAGAGAGAGAGTAGACACAGAAAAGCGATGGGAGACAGAGAGAGAGAGAAGAAAGAGAGAAGAGAAGAGAAGAGGAGAGAAAAGAGAAAGAGAAAAGAGGAGAATAGTGATAAACAGAGGCGATAGAATTTCCTTCGTTCGTGCATGCTTCAACAGAAAAAAAAATCCATGCTCAACCGCATGCACTGAGCTCAGAAGAAACGCGCTCATTGCCCTACGCACGTTTCACCCAGGAAGCTCACCTGGCACTCATCGGGGGCCTTCTCCCTGGATCCGCCTTACGGCCCCCCAGCTACTTGTCCCCCCACTAAGAAGGGACGGCAGAGGGGAGAACTAGGATGTAAAAGATCAAGAAAAAAACCAGAAAGAGGGAGGGATAACAGAGAGAGATAACAGGAGGAGAGATCAGAAGGAGAGAAAAGAGAGGAGAGAGAGAGGAGACAGAAGGAGAAGAGGGGAGAGTTAAGAAGTAGAAATGACAGAAAAGAAAAGAGTCAGAAGAGAAAAGTGGAAAAAAAAGAAAAAAAAAAAAAGAAGAGAAAAGTGGAAACCGACAAGGATGAGGATTCCAAGGGCGAAGGCGCGCTTGAGAGAAATTCGACTTTCACAGGGATTCTCTTTTTCTCATTGAAAGCGAAAAAAACAAAAAAAAAACAAAAACAAAAAAAACATACAAGGGGAAACAAGACATCCCAAAAGAGAGACTGGGAATAAAAAAACGTTGAATAAATTAAAGAATAATTGAAAACGGTACAGATTCAATGTACTTTCCCTTGCATTTAGATATACACTATTCACAACGCGGGACGACAAGGCTGGATGCAAGGGCAAAGAAGAAGCATGAAAAGAAGGGTATCACAGGAGGGGGGTATTGGTTATGATGAGCAGACGGGACCACAAACATACAACGTCGAAAAGGGAGGCACGGCCCTCAGGGCGCTAGAGGACACTTTTTTCTTCATTGGCATTCCCCTTGGGCATGATCC